AAAATTCAAGGGCACATATGGAAAACTGTCCTAAGTATGTGAAGAAATAGCATAATTTTAAGAGAAATAGTACAGTAAATTTTTTGCAGCTGTAATTTTTTGTGAATACATTCAGTAACATTAGTCCTTGTAGCTCTTATGCAAAGAAAACATCCAGAGAACTTCAGATGAAATAAGTGAGAGCTTGGCTGACCAAAAACTTTAAGAGTGAGCCAACTGTCAACACATGGAAACTATACACCTCTTTGTCATATTCAAGTGGACCTTCTGAGGTGTTATGAGTTAAAATGGCAGCTTTTCTACAAACACAACTGAAATTGTGGAATTTAAGTTCCAGACGTGTAGCTTTCCACTGCTGCAGAAACGTGCCCAATATTAAACAAAAGATAAATTATTTTTATATACCGTATGTGAGAGAAAGGATCTTAAAATGTTCCTGAGTTCGGAGAGGCTTGAAGCTGTTTTGCCTTCAGGTTAAGTTCAGAATGGTCATACCTCCAAGGAGGATTTCAACCCTTAGTGGAAGATAGCACATAGCTAGGTGTGATATTTTTTTTCTATAGAATAAAGAATAAACAGAAAAATGTTGTGAATTCTTCTATGGAGGAATCACAGATGTGAAACACCACTTTCAATGAGAAAAGAATAAACTGCTACTTGTAACATCTGTGATAAGAAGTCTTTATCCTGTTTCCATCTAAAAATGGGCAGCAGATGTTAGTTAGGGTAGAGTCATTCTTAGAACAAACTGCTACTCTTTCCCCATGCTGAACCCCAAAGCTTCTGTGTATTTTTAAGGGAGAATTTGAAATTGTATTGAAGAAGTCTGTCTTGCTTATACTATGTATGTGTATGTATTTAAAGCAACTGTATAAACACTGAACTGAATAAAGTCAGAAACTATTTATAATTTTGCCCACTGGATTAATTTGTGGTGGAAAGAACTGAGACTAAATCTTAACATACAGACAAAGTTTATGGCTGTGAGATGTAACAAAAATATCTCAGATTATGTGTAAGATGACTATTAGACATATGATGCCATATTTGATTTTTTTTTTTTTTTTTTTTTTAATGTACATGGTGTATGTGCAGTGAGGGTACCAGATGAAGCCTGGAGCTTATAGTTCCTGCAGTCATTACAATGAATTCTAGTGAGAGTTGGATGTTCCAAGTTTTGTGTGAAGTAAAGCCAGCTTAAATGTTTTGGCCAACCTATGGCTCTAGGGTACAACATACTTTAAAAAAAATCTCCGTGTCTTGCTAATTTTGCCAGAGGCAGGGTTGTGTTGACATGGCAGCTCCTAAATATACAGCTGCAGGCGGCTGGGAAGCATCAATGTCCATCTATGATGCAATTGGTCTGGGCTTTCTCACAAGAACTTTTGGAGGAGCTGTGTTCTTTCTCCAGAGAGAAAGAGGTCTTGAGAAATATGTTACTTCTTTTACAGAATCACAGAATGGCCAGGGTTGGAAGGGACCTTAAGGATCATGAATCTCCAACCCCCCCGCCACATGCATGCCATTTTGCTGTCATCCCTACAAGTGCTGAGATGTGAATTTCTCTGTTAAAGGATGCTGGTGTCCTCCAGCCTTACAGCTGCAGGGTTTTTTTACATCATCAAAAGCAAGAGCCCAGTTTACAGAGGTCAATTGGTTTAATCCACTCTGCATCATCTCCTTTAAAAGAAAGGCAGTACCATTTTCGCAACGTTATTTCTGTTCATTGAAACAACCTGTTGATGAGACATCACAGGATGTGCAATTAAGAAGCATCAAGCAGTGATGTTCAGTCTAACAGATCCAGTTAACTCTTAAACATGCTGATAATCATGTATCAATTCAGGTTGAAAAGTTACACTGATGTCTTAGCAGGTTCTAGGTTAACACAATGAGTTTACTTCTACATAGTCATGTTCTGACTATGCTGCAATTCAGGATCTCAGACCATTGCAGGAAAAATGAACTGAAGTATATCTAAGGACAAGCTTACCCCAAAATTCAAAAGGTATTTGAATTAATTGTCTATCTCATCCCATTGTTGGTGGTATAAGGTTTGCAAAGATTCAATGATTATATATTCCAAGCCAAAGTTTGTAGCTATATATCTGAGAACAAAGATGTGTTCTCTAGCCAGCGAAGAAAAGGAAGGACCACCAAAATTAATCAAGCCCTCTGTCTCCCATATCTGTTATAGGATGAATTATTCCCTGGAACTGTCTCTGTCTCTCTCTCTATAAGGGACATTTGAATGGTCTGACTAAATGCATCATTTTTTGACAATCAGATTTAACATCCTCCTCATCTCCAAATTGGAGGGAAGTGGATTTGATGGGTGGACGACCCAATGGATAAGCAATTGGTTGAAAGGCCGCAGACAGAGGGTGGTGGTCAATGGCTCTATGTCCAGGTGGAGGCCGGTAACAAGTGGTGTCCCCCAAGGGTCTGTCTTGGGACCGGTGCTCTTTAACATCTTTATTAATGACATCGATGAGGGAATTGAGTGCACCCTCAGCAAGTTTGTTGACGACACCAAGCTGAGTGGTGCGGTTGATACGGTGGAAGGAAGGGATGCCATTCAGAGGGACCTCGACAGGCTGGAGGGCTGGGCTCGGATGAACCTAATGAGGTTCAACACAGCAAAGTGCAAGGTTTTGCATTTGGGCCAGAAGAACCCCAGGCACCCGTACAGGCTGGGAGGAGTGGTCCTTGAGAGCAGCTCGGCAGAGAAGGACCTGGGGGTCCTGATGGACGAGAGACTGAACATGAGCCAGCAGTGCGCTCTGGCAGCTCAAAAGGCAAATGAGATCCTGGGCTCCATCAGGAGAGGGGTGGTCAGCAGGGAGAGGGAGGTGATTGTCCCTCTCTACTCGGCTCTTGTGAGGTCCCATCTGGAGTACTGTGTCCAGGTGTGGAGCCCTCAGTACAAGAAAGACATAGAGATCTTGGAAAGGGTCCAGAGGAGGGCAACTAAGATGATCAGGGGGCTGGAGCACCTCCCCTATGAGGACAGGCTGAGGGAGTTGGGCTTGTTCAGCCTGGAGAAGAGAAGGCTGCGGGGTGACCTCATTGCAGCCTATCAATACCTGAAGGGAACCTACACCCAGGAGGGGAGTAAACTCTTCAAAAGGGCTGACAACAGCAGGACTAGGGGAAATGGATCCAAGTTGAGGGAGGGAAGATTTAGGTTGGATGTTAGGGGTAAGTTCTTTACAAGGAGAGTGGTTAGGCCCTGGAACGGGCTGCCCAGGGAGGTTGTGGATGCCCCGTCCTTGGACGTGTTCAAGGCCAGGTTGGACGGGGTCCTGGGCAACCTGATCTGAATGTGTGTGTTTGATGGCCCTGCTAGGCAGGGGTTTGGAACTACATGATCCTTGAGGTCCCTTCCAACCCAGGTGATTCTGTGATTCTGTGATTCTGTGTGTAACAAGAAAGATGAAATTAAAGGCATCTGTTTTCTGCATAAAATCTCTGGGCATCTTTTAGTACATTTCCTTTAACCAGGTGTCAACGGTTTACGGGCTGGTTCGGCCGGGTTCCGTGACGAGCGGGGCGGAGGGATCCGCAGATCCGCGCCTCCGGAAGAAAAGGAAACAGGAGACCCCAAAATAATTAAAACAGCTGCACCGATCTGAAAGAAACTAATTTACTAAGTATATTATCGGAATGCAAGATAACACACTATAATACAATATAATCAGAATTGAAGCTAATAAATCAAATATAATGAGAGAGAGAATGTCTGAAAGGTGGATAGGCCTCACCACAACGCTGAGGTGAGATGCGCAGTCCAGTTGAGCAGCAGGGAGACGAGAGCAGCGCCCACGACGAAGGGCAGGTGAGAAAGAGAAATCAGGTGGCCTTGCCAGGAGTTACACCTCCTCTCCCTGACCGCAAGGTCCCCTGGGGAATGTAGTTCTTCTTCTCTTCAGGGCAGGTACCCAGGACTTGAGCATTGACAGTTAAAGTCCCAGTGCCCCACATGATGTTATGATGTAGAATATTGAAAGCCAAAAATCACAAAACCATGACATTCCACCCCTTATTCTACATCACTACATCATGCTTAATATATATACAAAGAGTAATTACCAAACATTAAACACATGCACACACAAAAATCTGTATATTTACATGGAATTACTGGTTGCACTCCCCCAACATCAAATTCCCTTGTGGTACACACTGAACATCCCCGTTTCTCTGCATCACCCACCAAGTCAACCCAGGTCCCTGGGCAAAAACAGTTCCACGAAGAGGTTTGCCCTTTCCAGCAGCTGGAATGACCCAAACCGCTTTTCCCAACATGTTCTTTACATGTACTACAGGAACCTTATATCCCTTGACAGTATGTAGGGAGCTAGCAGGACCATCGCGATTGACTGATCCTCTAGTATTGACCAACCAGGTGGCTTCTGCCAAATGCTTCTCCCAGTGCTTAAATGTTCCGCCACCCATTGCTTTCAACATGGTTTTTAGCAACCCATTGTATCTTTCAATTTTACCAGAAGCTGGTGCATGATAGGGGATATGATAAATCCACTCAATGCCATGATCTTTGGCCCAATTATTTACAAGAGAATTTTTGAAATTAGTCCCATTATCCGACTCAATTCTTTCTGGAGTGCCATGTCGCCATAGGACTTGTTTCTCAAGCCCTAATATGGTGTTTTGGGTGGTATCATGGGGTACTGCAAAAGTTTCAAGCCACCCGGTGTTTGCCTCCTCCATGGTGAGCACATAACGCTTACCATTGCGAGATCGTGGCAAGGTGATATAATCAACCTGCCATGCCTCCCCATATTTATACTTTTGCCATTGCCCTTCCTCCCAACATTGTTGGGAGGTGTCAAACCATGACACCAGGAAAAAAAAAACAACAAATTAGACAGAAGAATATAACAATTTTAATCATACAACTAATTTTTCAGCTGACCAAAAGACAGATAGAAGAAGTGATTCTATCACAAATTTGCTGTCTTAGTCATAAGAGAGTACAGTTTGAATAGAACTAACGAGTAAATTGATTTGCAATTTAAGTTAAATGAGTTTGTTGCTGCAGACTAATCAAGTTATGATGTTCAAGAAACATAATTATAAACTCTGCTAATCATTATTGTTTTTGTTAGTCTATGAAAAGACAAGTGAACTTATTTTCTTGTGGTCCAGCCAATCAATATACTGTACATATGATGCAAACCTAAAACAGTAATCAATATTCCCTATCTCTGAAAACACAGACCTTTGCTACTCAATACTTTACAATAATGCTCTTGTTCTTCCCAGATTAACAGTATCAGTTGTTCACATCCAGAATTAAAACAAGTATTGTGCAGAAGTACAGTGCAGAAGTACAACCAAATTGCAACTGAACAAGACTGTCAAGATGTTCTGAGCCAGCACTGATGAGCAACATTGGAAAAACTGCTTCTGTTTGCTAAGGAATACATATTTTGTTTCAGAAGCACTAATATCTCAGTTAAGCTGAACATTAAATTAAGTGAAAACATCAAATCAAAACCAAACAGTTAGTTGTCATGATATTTGCCAGTCTTCAAACTGGAATGGTAGATGATGGATAGTTGAAAGCCTTGGAGAAGTTTGAATATGTTTTCATGAGTAGCTATGTGCTGTGGAATTATATCACTATTTCATTTCAGTTTCCATTAAATTTATCTGTATACAAGTAATTTTCCATTGTCAACTTTCACTATTCCTGGAAAACATGAGTCAGTACTGTCAGTAGAAAAAGATAAGCATATATGGAAAGAAAGCCATCACACCTTTCAGGCACTTGGCTTAGTATGGGAGGAATTCTGGAAGCAAAGGCATTACAGAGAACTGGGAAGGAAAGAAAAAAAAAGCCACAAAGTAAAACTCACGGGTTGAGATAAAAGCTACTAAGACAGAAAATGAAAATAGTAATAGAAATGACAATATATGCCAACTTAACAATGTATGCACTGTGCAATTATTCACCACCAGCTGATGGACATCCAGCCAGCCTTTGAGCAGCACCCCTCTCCCCAACCAACTCCCCAAGTTTTTTCAAATTATGTCATATGTCATAAAATATCCCTTTGGCCAGTTTAGCTCAGATGTTCTGATTCTGTCTCCCCTCAGCTCCTTGTGTCCCCTCATCCCCTTGCACTGACAGAACAGTACAAGAAGCTGAAATGTCCTTGGCTCTGTGGAGAACAGCAAAGCAACAATGAAGGCACTGATGTACTGTCAACACTGTTTTTCTCCCACAGCCAAAACACACCAACATACCTGACACTGTGAAGAAAGTCAACTCTGTCCCAGCTGAAATCAAGACAAAGGGCTGGGAATAAAATTCTGTGAGGACACTCAAAGCTCTGTGTGTGTAAACAAATAATATATAAAAATGTATTAGTGATATCTCTACTTGCTCATAAAAGACTTAAAATGAATCACGACAAAACTGTGTTGCCAATAACATTTAAAAGGACATAAATCAACCTCCTCCCTCAAATAATGATTTAAGAACACACAACTATAGAAATGGTAAATCGAGACTAAGATCTTTGTCCTTTTGACATCAACTTTATGGAGATTTAGCTATGAGGACTGGACTTTTGCCTTTCTAAAATTATCCAGTTGAGAAATTTATTGCAATAACAGCAAACACCTTTAAAATGCCAAGAGATAAAAAATCTCAATAATGAAGAAAAATCTTACTGGTCAAAACAGGGAGTTGATCAGTTCCTTTAAGTGGTGTATCTATCCCCAAGTTATGACATATCTTAGATCTTCTTATGGAAAAGTACAGTATTTTCCAGGCAATCAGAGCTGTTCCCTTTCTTTACAGCATACACAGCTAGTACACACATTTTTATTCACTGCAAATGTTCACCACAGTGAGAAATATTTATAATCACATACTTGCTGTTTCTATCTTACACAAATTTAACTTTGCCTGATATTGTACAGAGGTAATTTAATTGCTTCAGATACACTGATTACATGTGCTGATCAGATATCATTTAGGTAATCTGATATATTATTTTAAATATGACTGCAGACCTTCTGTCTCCTTCTTTTGCAATGAGTTTATGTATTACTCATTTGGGAGATTTCATCACAGTTTTTAAAAGCCACTTTCTTCCATCTGAATTCCAAATAAATGTAAGGAGGTCATAGTAAGATGGTAAGTCCCTGTTTAAATAATTTGAGAGTACAATTAATTCCCCACAAGTGGAATTAACTACAAGGGATTAATGAAAATGTCAGGGTTACAGGCTGTGCTGCTGATATGTTTCTAATGTCAGTAGTAAATCTGCTGTAGGTAGAACACAAATTCTTTCCACATAGGCTCTTTCTTTAAAAATATACCCAGAACTCATAAAATATCCCACAGCTGATATGGACCACTTTTCCATAGAAGCACACCTACTGTGGAAACAGAGCAAAACACACAGCTTATGGAGGTGAAGACATATTTCAGGTTTCAGAATGTCCGGGGATCAATTTAAAAATGAACAAAATTCATGTGCAAAAAAATAGACAGGAAAGAAGGGAAGAAAAACTAATTCATGGACCAGAATTTCATCGCTGGCAATTTAATATGATGCTTGATGTACAAGTCACAGCTCAGAATATCCTTAAATAACTTCTGGAAGCTGTGGAGATGTAAGCCCTTGTCTCTTACACCCTTTTTTCTCAGCACCTGCTTCTGCCACTACAGAGCTAGCTACAGTTCTGCACTTCTTGTGTCTGTGCAATCATTTCCAGAAACTGTTACATCTGAGGAAAAGTACAATCTGCTTACAGATATTTTGCCTATTGAAAGGAAAGGAAAAATCACTCAGTCTGGAAATAACAGCTGAGTAGAGGGATTCACTAGAATAGCATCTATGAAATGAATAATGTATTAGGAGGAGTAACAGGAGAAAGCTCAGAGAAAACTATTTTATGAAGACATTCCTAGTTGCCTGTAAAAGTCATCACCCTGATGACCTTTCTATTCTATATCACTTCACCCACTCCATTTCATTTTCCAGATTTTTTTTCACAGCACCCATTTGGTATACAAACTACAATTGCAGTGAGAAAACATAGGACAGTTGGACCATTTGCAATACCAGAATTAGTGATGTTATTTAGAGAACCACTGGAATACGATCAGACTCTCCATTAGAGATCATTCACTCAGAGATAACAAATATTCCTCATGGTCTTTGCAGACACCTACCAGAAATATGCCATGCAATCGCACAGAGTAGGTGGTGAGGAGTCAGATAGATCTGGTCAAAGAAGATCAGCCAATCCTGCACTTTGCACTTAGTTTTCCACACTTAGTTTTCTCCAGATGAAAAGCAGATTTCCATCCATCACTTCAGCTTTTGTGGAAAGAGTAGGCTGGGCTCAGGCACAAATCCATGCTAATACAACAGCAGAAATGCAATTTTAGGCTGCACCCCTGCAAAATAAATAAATAATAAATAAAATAAGCCAGAAAGCAGTCTCTGACCCCAAAGTCAAGTGGCATTGCTCCTCTCATGCGCACAGACCTAAACTCTCTTTGCAGACAAACAGGGTGATCGCATTTCAATCTGCCTCCTCCCACATGCTCTTCTCAGCTTGATCCCAAAAGGATTCAAGCAGGCAAACACCACTGGCAGTCATAGAAAAATAGAATGGCTTAGATTGGAGGGGACCTTAAACATCATGTAGTTCCAACACCCCTGCCAAGGGCAGCATTGTCAACCACTAGATCAGACTGCTTAGAATCCCATCCAACCTGGCTTTGAACTCCTGTAGAGATGCAGCATCCACAGTTTCTCTGGGCAGTCTGTGCTAGTGCCTCACCACCCTCTGAGTAAAACATTTCCTCCTAATTTCTAAAATAAATATCTCCTCTTTTAATTTAAAACCATCCTCCAGTGTCCTATCACTATCAAATGACATGAAATGTTGCTCCTTCTCCTGCTTGTAAGCTCCCTTCAAGTATTGGAGGGCTGCAATGAGATCTTCTTGGAGCCTTTTCTTCTCCAAGCTGAACAACTCCAACTCATTCAACCTTTCTTCCAAAGAAAGGTACTCCAGCCCTCTGATCATCTCTATGGCCCTCCTTATGGCCTTCTTTTATGGATCTACATTCTTCCTTTACTAAGGCCTTGGACCTGGTCACAGTGATCCTGATGGGGCCTCACAAGAGCAAAGGGGGACAATCACCTCCTTGTTCCTGCTGGCCACCCTTATTTTCATAGAATCATAGAATTATAGAATCCTTAGTGTTGGAAGGGGTATTTAAAGGTCATCTAGTCCAACTCCTCTGCAATGAACAGGAATGTCCACAGCTAGATCAGGTTGCACTTACCTTGAAAGTATCCAGGAATAGGGCATCAACCATATCTCTAGGCAACATATTCCAGTGCTCCACCACCCTCACTATAAAAGACTTTTCCCTTGTATCCAACAAGGATATAGGAAAAAAAAAAATTAATGCAGCCAAGTATACTGTTCACTTTCTGGGCTGGAAGAGGACACTGCTGGCTCATGTCCAGTTTTTGTCAATCAGAACCTCCAAGTTCTTCTCCACAGGGCTGCTCTCAGTGAGTTTTTCTCCCAGTCTGTAGTCATATCTGGGATCACCTCAATCCAACTGCAGCACTTTGCACTTGGCCTTGTTAAACCTCATTAGGTTCTTGTATGACCACTTTTCAAGTCCATTTAGGTCCCTGCAAATAGTGTCCCTTCCCTCTATCATGTCAACTGCACCACTCAGTGTAGTGTCATCAGCAATCTTGCTTAGGGTGCACTTGATCCCATCATCTATGTTGTTGATAAAGATATTAGAGAGTGCACATTCCAAGATGGACACTTGGGGGACACCACCCTTGAGCATATTTCATCTGGACATAGAGTCATTCACAACAACCCTCTGGCTATTGCCATCCAACCAATTCTTTCTGTACTGAATAGTCCAGATTTCAAATCCATATTTCTCCAATTTTGAGAGAAGGAAGTACTGCAGGATCATAGAAAACACCTTGTACAAGTTCCATGTAGACAACATAAGTTGCCCTTCCTTTGTCCAACAATGTCATCATTCCACAATAGAAGGCCACCAGATTGGTCAGATATGATCTGCCTTGTGACAGTCCTCGAGACTTGCCTTGATCTTATTTACTTATAAATGTAGCAGTACATGCTCAAATTATTTCTTTTTTTCTTTAAATACCCAAAATCATCTCACTTTAGTGGAATCAAAGAACTCTATGTAAAGACCATGAATTTTCTGCTATTATTTCCTTGTAGGTCTATAGTTGCTCTGACTCATGATGTTAATGACAAATTAAGCTTTAATTAACTGAATAGTTTAAACAGTTTCTCTCTCTGTGGAACCCAGACTCCATTTATTAAAAAAATGAGTAAATTATATATTTGATGTAATCTTTTTTTTTTTTAATCTATTTTATCCTGGTACCATTTATGTTTGTGTTTGAATGTTACATATTTTTACTTTTAAATAAGTTAATGGCTATTAACAGGAAAGTGATCCTTGGAATTAAGTTTTCAAAGACAGATTTCCCATTTTTACTATGTTATAAAGACTAATTGTATTGCATGACTCATTTGGGATTAACTACAGAGGACTACAAGGGTTTAGAGGTAATGTGCTGCCTTCAGGTATGCTTCTCAAAAATGTGTAGCTCAAATATACAAAATGATATGGAATCACATCTCTACATAATGAGAAAGGACATCTTGACTACACAAAGAAAGGAGGAATATTGATGCTGTGAGGCTACTCAGATCCATAAACTTCTTTGCAAATGTTCCGAACTTTATGTACTCTTTGTACTTAATGCAGAACTGTTCAGCAAAAATATCTGAACTCCAGTAACTTACAGTTTTACCAAAGAATTCATCGGGCATTTCAAGAAACAGATACATGCAGAGGCTCTTATAGTATGTCCTTTATAATGCCATTCGGATTGGAAACAAGTTAACTCCAGCATCCACTCAGGTCCTAGAAATAAGGAGTCCTGACATCTGCTTTTCCTCAGGACCTCAGTTAATGGTCATTTACTCAGAAAATTTAGCAGAGTTCTAGATGAAGAGGTAGATTCTGGCTGCTTGTTGCTTTTTTCTTTCCAGCTCTTTTTGATGACCTATTTTCTATTCCTTTGTCCTCTCCTTTTCAGTGTACATTAGCCAATCAACCTTTGCTGTACAGTGAGCAGAGTTCCATTTTTCCTTCTGTCTAAGGAGATTTAAGCCATATTTCTTAATTCCGTATATGAAGTTCACGCTCTTCATTCATTTCATTTCATTTGTGCTCAGTATATTTCAACATTCACAGCGCATAGACTGTGCCGCAAATGGTCCTTACAGCTCCACTGTTGACTGGATTCCCCATGTCACATCTTTGATGGTTGGTCTCAAAACCCTCCAAATAGCATATATTTCCCTTTAGCTGGTGCGGCTTCTTACGTCTCTGCCTTTTAATTGAAACCTGAAATGAACGTTATCCAAGAGCACTGCAAATAGTGTGCAGACCACAGGCGGAGTGTACAGAGCACTGTACAGAAGACTGCTTCCAGACTACCTCCAAAGTAACTGATCTTAGCCAGAAGAACATGTAGATTTTGACTTTAATAACAAAATTTAGTATAGGAGTATGCGTCTTATTCACATAGAAGAGCACTTTGGTATTAGTGGTGTGGTGTTGCAGGATTTCAAGATTCTGAAGAGACAGAGAAGACACCATTTTCTACTCCTAGGGCTGCCACAGAAGAAGCAGAAGTAATGATGAATACAGCTCGACTGGCAAACGGATGGAGAAAGTCACACTGACAATGAGCACAAAACACAGCTTCATCCCAGAGCAATGTGCAGCAACAACCCCAGACTTGACACTTCTACTGCTTAAATGTTCAGCTTTGTCAGTGGATGTTACCTATCACATAAGAGTATGCTGCTAAATGGAAAGGTAGCCTGGAAGCAAGTCATCCATACGGCTGTCTAGTTTTCTGATACCCATCCATAATGGCAGAGCCCAGTCCCTGGTAACATAGACAAGAATCAGAACCTAGTCCTCTTTCATTTAGCAGTATATATATAATGGGAGAATTTTCCTTGTCATTACATACTTTTTTTTTTTTTTTTTAATCAGATTGAGATGTTTCTGAAAATCTGTTAGTCCCATTACAGACAATGTTTACTTGGGTTTCTACAAAACATACTGCATCCAGAAAGGCACCATTGTACATACCAACCCTTTATCAGCATTTGATAGATAACACCACATATTATGTGACATGCAACAACAGATGATAAGTCTAGATATGGGCAGAGAGGTGTACTCTTCTCACAAGAGTACTTTTATTTCTGAGTACATGTAGATTGGGTAGATCACTGCCAGTGTGCTGTTATGAAAAGGTTTTATCTCTTCCAGGAATAAACATTTCAGTGCATAAGTAGATACTTGCATGCAGGACACTGTAAAGAAAGAAAATAAATGAGAAAGAGATAACAGAAGGGTGGGTAACAGCTGAGAAACTACTGTAAATGTTCACTGGAGCAGGAACATGAGTAGACAGAGAAAAAAAGTGGATGTAGCACTAAAGAAAAAAAAGAAATGTAAATTGAAACAATGCATTCTGGCCAAGAAGAGGTCTGAAATGACTGAGAGATCAGATCTAGTAGCAGGAAAAGGTTTTGTAGCGCTCTTTCTTACTGATATAGAGAACTGTAGAAGAAATATTTTTAGTCTGCCTCCACGTGATTTTTTTTCTTGAAAGAGTACCCTTTAAAAGTAGAGATCAACTTGGATCTTAATGTTCCTTCTGTCTTTAAGTGCATACTGAAATCAAAAAGGGTGTGCCATATACATTTACCAAAGAGTCTTGTCTTTACAACTCTGAAGATAAAAGGGGGTTTTCTTATCAGATTAATTTCAGGAGATAAGAAACAGCAGTTCAGCCAGAAGATATGCACTTTGGATGAGCAAGTGAGCAATGGGCACGTACTAACTTGTAAAGAAACAAAGGAAAATAATTTATTTTCCCTTACTTTCTGTACCCCTTCAACTATATTGACTTGTTTAATTTTGTTCTTTCAAGCAAAAATTTCAATCAGGTTTGTTATTTTCAAGCAGAATATGTTTTAACTGACTGCAGTACTGTGCTCAGATGGCATTTGTTTGATTGGTTAATTTGTGTCAGAAGAATTGAGATATACATTAAATAGTTGCAACTAATGCACTGTTTTAGTGAACTTATGCAGCAGACTGAACTTCCTCAGGAATAGACTTGTCAAAAAGGATGAATAATTTTGTTCTCCATTGTCACTGTGTTATTAAGCAGCACTGTAATACAGTTCCTTCAAATGTAATCAGTGTATTGGTAGAGCAACATTTATAAAGCAACCTAAGCAAATATAAAATATTTTAATAACATCTTACTGTGTTCTCACAGGTTGTTGACTGCACAAATTGATTTTTTTCTTTCATCCCTAATGATGGTATTGAACCTACACAGATATTATTTTGGTGTAGGGAAAGCTCTGCTTAGATGACGGCAATTTGTAAATTCATATTTTAGACTAGTTTTAGATCTTAAAAGCTAACTAATATCTTGAAATACTGGCCTCAGTGGGAATAAGTACTCTGTTGCTTGAAGTGTTGTAATAACAGTTTAATTTCTTTTTAGGACAGGATTTTTTTGGCTTTTGCATTTCCATATTCCACCCCTTATTACCAAAATAAAATAATCTAGAAAAACTTTTTTTTTAAAAAAAAGAGAGGGAGAGAGAACTGTGGACTTAAGCTGATATCAAACCTTTGCTTACTCTTCCAAGAGAGAGAGCTTCTCATCCTACTGCATTTATTCTTTCTTCCTCCTGAGAAGCCCAAATTATTTTTTATTGCTTCTATTTTTCACTCTATATCCTGAAATTAAACTTCTGAAATTATGTGAAATATTTACAAAGAAACATGAAAATATCGTCATTTAACCTTATGTATGATGAGAGCATACAAGGAGAACTGAGCTCCAAAATTTAATTTTTAATAATTTGTCCCAGAGATCGGAATTTAATTGCACAGCAGCACATACAAGCACATAATAAAAAAAAAAAAAAAATCAGAAATATTACCTACCAAAGAATGTGTGAAAAAGTTATTGCTTCTTTGTGTATCTTGTTCTCAAAATCTGACATCAGAGATAGGAAGGTGGAGTTTAAGACCAGAATTTAATTGGTTTAATTTTTAGCTCTCAACAACATAGCTACGGGGTATGCTGATGGCATATTTTCTGACTGCATGTGCTTCTATTAAAAGATCTTTATTTACCTTCTCCAATAAAAAACTCGAGCTCAAAAACCAAGGGGATACAAGCATTCAAAGTGTTACTAGTTTCCTGGGCACGTCCTTGGCCAATCCATCATGTTGGTTTATTTTGAACAAAAACACCCAGCCCTTGCAAGAAGTCACAGCCTCAAGGCTGCTCACCCTGTGCAGCAAGGTGTCCTGAGGGGTGGTGACATCCCTGGCATCAAGGAAAATCTTCCTTGTCCTCCTTATAGGAGACATCATCAGACAACACTTTCTAGGGCTCCGCTGAAAACGAAATCATTACCTGACTGTAAAGGGGCAATTTTTGGACTTCACACAGAGCACATAGCAGCTCATGCTCACACTACTAATATTATCTTCTCTGAAATGCAGTGTGTAGATCATAATTACCTGTCTGTCCACTTAAACACTTCCATTTCAAACCTGAAACCCAGGTTTCCAGCTTATGGACAATATGTATGCAAGGAAAACTCCAACCTGTATTTGAGCTAATCTCCTTTGTTATCAAGGGAAAGAAATGAAAACTTTTAAAACATAGTTCATCTGATTTATTATAAGCATCTTTAAGGGGAAAATAATGGGATCTCTGTATCTCTCCCTTGACCACAGAAGGGAGTCAAGGCTATTTAGCTCAGATGTAGTACTTTTAAATGGTAGACATCCTTATTTGATCAGTGATCATGTTTTCAGATCCTACGTAGACAAAGAAGTGCAATGTGTTCTGTGTCTTCTTGACAGTACAGCTTCAAATGAACTAATAACTGTTGTAGGAATTTTTCCTTCTGCATTTTTTTTCCTGTATTGTAGCTAAAAAGATATTGTAGAACTGAATCTTCTTAATAATTGGCGGTATTGATCTCATTTACCTGTTAGTCCCTACATCTTCACATTTTCAGAGCTAAAGGTTTGAGGACAGAATGATTATTTCTCTCCCAACCCCGGGTAAGATTGGAAGGAGTTGCTGGACTTTTTGTCTCACCTTGAAGTGCTCAGAGTATCTGCTTAGTACTTCTGGAATTTTGATTAGCTGATTTTCCTCTATAACAGGGACTTACAGCACTAGTAGTACTCTCATCTCTTCTGCTTGCTGCTGTGATGTATTTATTATATGTGCAATGAAACATTCTGACAAGTCAAGCTGATATTCTTCAAGTGCTTCACAAAGCACCCCTTTTTAGAACACAAGAGATATTAATAAAAGGATAGTCTATTCTCACCCTATGCTCTTACAACTTATTATCAGTAAAAAATTTGTTTGATTACAGGGAAGAAAGCAGAAAAGGGTAAGAGGAGAAAGAGGTGAACAGTACTAGTTGCTTTTTCCTATTATACGAAATTCACATTTCTAATGAATTTTTGAACTGTACCCAGTTATTAACAACCTTGCAATTGTGAAAGGGAATGAGATTTTAATAAAAATTACACCCAGCATATTTAAAAAACAGAGATAACCCTCAAAGCCTTAGGACAATTGGTAGCTGCGCAGTGGAGCAAGTCATCAACAAAGCCTAAATTGACACAAGAGGCTTGGAGAAGGCAGAATTTATTTGCATGTATTGTAAGTTACATGTCCTTGCTGGCTGACCTTATTCCATGTTTGTTTTCCCAGCCATCCTATTACAGGAGGAGGTGCTGCAATATAGGCATAAGGACATTCTGCACACTGATTGTGTTGGATAGCCAAGAAGTGGATGAGACACTTGCTCCCTTCTCCTCCCACACACGCACAGAAATCTTCCTTTATCCACCACTGTGCTTTTGGGAGCCTATTTTCCTACTTTTCCTTTGCTCCTTAGGCATCTCTATCCCCACTTCATCTTAAATGGAGTCTCTTTTAGAGATTTTATTGCACAGGTTAGAATCTCACGCTAAGTCAGTAGTTGGCATGAGTCCATGTGTATGATGACATAAGCACCTTAGGGAACTAATTTTATATTCTTTGTATCTAATCTGTCCAAACCTTTATACTGCTGTCATTACTATGAGTTCTGAGCATTTAATTCTCATAGGTAATAATCTACAAAGATTGCAACACAAAATTTCTATCTAATTCCATTGTCATTGATTCTGATTTTGCTGACTCCAACAATGGGATTCTATGTGGGAGTATCTTCAAATATGCATGATCTGTGAAGGATCACGTGTAACATGGAGTTAATTAAGTAAATTAACAAGAGTTAATCTTGTGTCTTGTGCAGCAACGGCAATTTGATGTTAAAAAAAAATCATTTTCAAAAATCTTCTTTCTTCAAATTAGCAGCAGCATCCATGGGATACACATGCTCTATTTTAGTCTCATTCAGGCATGGATTTACCAGAAAGAAAACAGCCTGAATCTCTTCACTTCTTTAACAGTATCATATGCCTGTACCACATGCATGTCTTGACATATGACAGCAGAAATCTTCAGTAATACACTGGCTGCCTGCTCCCTCTGCACAGACCACACATCCTCTCCCAAAGCAGAGGGAGGATTCTCCTTTTATAACAGAGTACAAGCCCTGCATAAGAGCGCTGTCAGGCTTTGAGGAAAGCTCTTTGGGGTGGCAAAGCGAGCAGGCAAAAAAAGACGTCTAGAACTTAATGCTCACATTCTGAACTAAGGCAAAAGGAATGTGAACGGGTCCACTTCAATCTAATTATATTTTATGTTCAGACATGTTCTTCAGAGATCTTGTTTTTGTCTTTTATACTAATTGGCCAAAATAACGTAAATCAAATCTGATCAAAAACATTCAGTGTGCACTAAATGAGGGAAAGTTGAGAGGGGAAGGTCAGTCATTTAAAGGTGTGATAAGGTCAATGTGAGCCAAGTTGTTAAGGGGTTAGTCTTTTAAACGGCCAAGTTAAATAAGATACAACTGGTGCTAAGTTCACTTCTAAGAGCTCCCAGGCATGGGCTCGTGAATGCCTAGAGGGACAGGTTTGCTTCAGTTGTGCTCTATTTACCTTGGCAATTTAAATGGCAAAAACCTTTTCTAATTTGGCTCTTGATATATATGTTGCACCTTTATAAGACTTAACATCTTTGCTAAAGAGTTCTTCATGTTAATTAGATATTACCGTATGTGTATACATAATATTAAGATATATAGACATTCAGGCACTCACATAAAATATATGCCTAAGCTAGATGTCACTGAAAATTCACATTAGCTAAGTAAAATTTGCCTGCTTCAGACATGTAATGTATACTCAGATTTTTAGTCCTGAAGGAACTAGTGTTCTTAAGGAAAGGCCCTCATGCCACAGGTAGCTCAGAGAGGGAGAAAAGGGTGCAATGAAAGCTTCTAGAAAAAGATATTGTCTAGTTAGCTGTAAAATAAATGTTTTTGATTTATGGCTTTTGTTAAATGGTAATTCTTTTAAATTTTGTCCACTTAAGGATCAAATGGATCATCAAATAATAAGAACACGGGTTTCCAGTGATATTCTACTTCCTGGTACCTTGCTCACAGATAGATGGGAGTCTGTATTAAGAATTAGATGAGGTCATATTTTGGGGCTAAACTGGTCATTATACAGCTGTTCCCCATCAGAGGAATGACAACAAAAATGGTTAAAGAAAAAAAAGGTAGGGGGTTAAATCTTTCTTAGTAAATCCTTTTTTAGAACTGACATGACTGAGACTGGAGGCTATCTTTTCTTTCACTTATCTTTTAATTTTTCCTACGGTATGCAACAAACTTCCTCTGCTATTTGTTATTTTGGTAACCCAGGTGTTCTTCTCTAGGATGACAATAAGAAAATAATTGAACCTGAAATTATCTGCATTGAGTTTTTCTTGAATGCCAGCCTCATTTACCCTCAAATTTTAAATCGTGCATCCTTATTTTGAGTTTAAATTAAAGTACTTCAACCATCTGATTTCAAAAGAATCACTTTTCTCTTAACAGCCATCCTTTTCAGGATGAAAAAAAAAAAACAAAAAACCATAGACAAGAGATATACTTTTTTGTTGTTGCTCTGCATTGGTTTAAATGAAGGAGATACAGGAAAGCAGAAATGGATGAAAGGGCAGAAAAAAAATGTATTTTCTTGAAGAAAAAAATCTGCTTGTACACTTCTTATCTGGAAAGTGTTCAGTCCCAATATGGTCTGTTCCTTTATTATTTTATCAGTTTAGAAAGCTAAATTTAACTTCCTCTTCTTCTCCCAACTAAAACATTTCAGTTAGAAATGGGGATTACCGGTTGATAACTCTACTGCAGTCCTCTATTACTGCAGGCTTCTATTTCTGTAAAAGGAACTACTTTGAAATGAACTTCCTTACTGCAATGAAAGTATCATCAAGAAAACTTTTCCCCCACCATACAGCATCAACAGGATTCTTTAAAACCGGATTGGTACTTTTCTGACTGGTTTTAAAATGCCACATATTTGAGTAATACCACAATTTACAAATATCAGACTGGGCAGCTTATGCTTCCAGTCTTGCTGAAGACATCCCAAGAAAGTGAGCAAGTAAATCTAGTAAGACAAAGTGCAGGGTTTCACTACCTTTCATCATGTTT